CATTCAGGGGGGAAAAAACACTGTCCTTGTGTCTAGTTGTTCCCTATAATGTCATTTTGAGGATAGAAGTTGAAACAATTTATGTCTAGGATGTGAGGGGTCTCTTGATATTTTCACAACCCTCTTTTTGATTCGTGCAGTATGCAGGTCCTCAATGGAAAGCAGGCAGTGGTGGGATTCAGCCAGTTCGCCCCACTCCCGGAGAACCGGTTGCTAACTTTCTGAGCAGTTTGGTGAACTGGTTGTTGGAAGAAATCATTAGGGCAGAGAACTGGTTGTTAAACTATTTGAATCCCATCACTGTTATAATGGGAGATTTATCTCTAGCACCACAAATCAATTGCTGTGGCATTTTTCAGGTGCGGGGGCAACTGCCAGCCTTTCAGGCCTTGGAGAAAAAAAACAAGGAGGCACACTGGTAATTCCTTCCAATGGAAATGCTATTTAGAATCTATTCTCTTTCCTCCACTAAGACAAAAAAAAACCCAAATGAATGTTTAGACGTTATTTATATTTGTATATTTTCCTGCACGTTGGCCAAAGAAATGTGTTGAAGTCATCAATCTTTATTATTATCATTATTTGCATGTAAATTATTATTTACAATCAAAGGCTTCTTCAAAGACCAATAGATTTTCCAGATATTTCCTTCCTAGCTCCAGATCCATCAATTCTACTCATTCACGAGGACAGTGATGGCTAAACTTTTTGCCTTGCGTGCTGAAATCACGCATGCAACAGGGTATGTGCACGTTACAGTGCATGCATACATGCCCACATCCTGCCCCCCTGTGCATGCATGCCATGAACCCCCTATGACACCCCTGCGCATGCGCATAACCCCCCCGCCCCATTTTGGCCCTAGCAGGCTTCCCTGAAGGCTCCTAGGACCAAAAACGTGTGAGGTCGCTGCTCACCCATGCTGTCCCCTGCCCCCCATGCATGTGTGTGTGACCCCCCCCCTTGCCCATGCGTGCATGACCTCCCGCCCCGTGCATGTTCACACGTCTCCTGCATGCGAAGTAGAGTCACAAATATCAGCTGAATGGCGGGAGATATGTGTGCCTATGTTGTGGAGCTGAAGTGGGCAACGGTTTGTGTGCCCACAGAAAGGGCTCCACGTGCCACCTGTGGCAGATGTGCCATAGGTTCGCCATCACGGCACTGGGATGATGCCCAAGGCTCTCCTGTGGTAAAAGCAGATTTCTACTTGGAAAATTCTCTTTGCTTTCCCTCCAAGCTTCCTCAAAGGAGGAAGTTTGAGGATATTCCAGAAGAGATATTTTAGGAGCATGAGATGTTAAGAGTTGAACAGGAATTCCCGCTTCCCAGTTTTGTTGATGGAAAGAATTCTGCCATAAGTGACATTCTCATGGAAGAAATATAGAGTTGTATTTTTTTTGTTACGAGATGCCTGGGTGTGTGTGTGTTTTTCATGTAACATGTTCTGTGGTTTATTATTTTCAAATTTAATTATTTTACTCCTAGCACAAAGACAATAAACAATGTCAGCTCCAGGGATGGTCACTTTTTCCTCTGTTCTTTCATGGGAATTGGAGAGTTTGGATTCTACAGAAGAAACCCTTTATTCAGACCAACTCCAGAACACATCCTTTTCTTTTCTTCAATGACAGAGTTCGGCTGTTCCTCATTTATTGTTGACGAAGACCTTGTTTTATTTTTTAAATATTATTTTAAGACTAGATGTAGAGTGCCTGAAGATGAGTAATCATGCTAATTTGGGCACAGAATGTACTCACACCTGTTGAACAGACATTTGTAGGCAATGCAGTTGTTGAGCTAGTAGTTCTGCAGCTCACACTTACATTGTGCTTCAGATGTGAACCTTGCTTCATAAGCTTGAAAGCTCTTGTGGATGAGGCTATGAAAGGTAGGGAAGTTTTGTGGCACAATTTCCCAGGAGCTTATATCTATATCAAGTAACTTCAGAGAGGTCTTTAGTCTTAATGTCTTTGAAATGTTCCTCCTGCCCTCCATATAAGCAACTTCTGGCAGAGAGTTTCCCTAAAAGTAGCTGATTAGAGATGTGCTTGTTCAGCATGTGGATGACATGACTTTCCCACCGTGTCTGTGCTCCAGTGGTGGGATTCAAATAATTTATCAACCAGTTCTCTGCCCTAATGACCAGCTGGGTAGGCGGGGCTCGGTGGTCATGTGATCATGTGGGCATG